GTGAAGAATGTTCCTCAGCAATTGCTGGTTAAAGGTCTTCTGAATCGGATTTATTGGAAGGTTGCTGTCGGCAAGTTGCCTGTGGGGCACAAGGACTATCAGAAGGGATCCAATAAAATGGATCGAAACTTGGTTATTAGCATGTCATCTGAAGGTGCAAGCGAACAGGATTTGAACCTGGCATTGGAAGATGATACTGATCAGAGAATGGATGATGGTGCATTGGTGGTCATGGCATATGACCCTGGTACACTGATTCAGTCGGCGACAACTATGTGGGTTATGCGTCGTGGGTTGGCAGATCGTGCTCTCTGGTCGGCAATAGCGACTGCGGCACAGAGAATATGTGCTGAAATGGTTCAAGTGGATGAACTGAATGCCCAGTTGAATACTGGGAGACTCCTTTTTGAAAGGAGAGATCAAGGACACTACGGTGATTTGCATCATTCGTTCCATGAAGATCCGTGCTTGCCGGTGGTGGGAAATTATCCTCTTTCGGTGATGGGTGCGCTGCTTTCTCCTGGCCTGGAAAAGGAATTCAGAAATACTGAAAAGTTTGGAACTGCTATGGAGGCAATAGCCTATGATTGGAGTCGCAGTCCAGGCATGGAAGTTCATGTGGAACTTATGGCAAGGGTAGCCAATCTGGTCGCTCCATTCCTTAGACTAGGAGGCCAAGGGACAGTGGTGAATTCCGAATTTCTCTGGCAGCACGGGAGGGACCAAATGATGGAGTTCCTTCAGGCGGCGACCTGCGCTGATCAATTGGAGGTTCTCTGGAGAAGAATGGACGACGATGCTGATGAGGAAGTGGATCCTACAGGAATGGTGCTGGAGATCCCCGATCAACAAGATGCGGTACTAGATCAAGGGAACAATGAATCCCTTATTCCCATTGAAGATGCTGGAGGTGAGACACTTGGTGACACTGGAAGGGATGGCAAAGCGCCAGAAGTCTCTCCGGAAGAGGAGACATCCAGTGGGTCGTCAAGACTGGCGGGCACAAGGATTTTCTTGTGGTCAGTGTACTCTCGCGTTGCTTCCAATTTCTCTACGCAGGACCGCACTACTGGTAAGATCTTTGACAGCACAAAGGGGTATCCTGGTGAAGGACCAAACAATGGTGACAATCCTTCCTCTAAGAGGAACTTACCCTGGATCTCTGAAGACTACCTCGACGAAGTGGTGTCAAAAAAGATGGAAAGGTCTTCAGATATGGATGGGTTGGATGGGTTTGTTCCGGGAAGTGAGGGATCGTTGGAAAAGGTAGAGGTGGAGAATGTTACTGCCTCTAAAATTCTTATGGCTCTTTGGAAAAAGGGATATAGAGCTGGGTATAGGAGGTTGTGTCGTTTGAACGTATCTGGATGCAAGGTTGGAGCAATGAAGCGTCCAATCAAAAGGGTGCAGAAGATCGGCACTAGGAAAGCCTTCATGAAGAAGTTCAATGTTTTTGGATCGTCTCAGCGTGGCTCAGGAGCTGGCGGAAAACCAATCATGAAGGTGGTAGGACCAAGGCCAGGTTTTCCAGCTGTACTCCAAGCATCAAGTACTGATAGCACCTTGGGTGAAGGGAGCAGTTCTCAGGCACATGGCAATGTTCATGTAGAGCAGAATCGCCCTATGGACCGGTACGAGGCGGAGCGCTTGGAGAAGAGGAAGAAAGGCTTCTGCTATTGGTTCAGTAAGGGAAAAGATCGCTGCAAATTTGGTGAAGACTGCAAATTCATCCATTCAGAAGATGATGTGGTGCTGCATTCGTATTGGTGCAAATACTATGTGGCGGGGAGACCCTGTTTCGCTGGAAAGAAGTGTGCGTTCTCGCATGATGCAACTGGTGTGAGGTGCATTCAGTTTGCTCAGTCTGGGAAGTGTCGTTATGGTGACAGGTGTGTTTTTGAGCATGGTGATCCGCTGAATGAACAGAGGCCAAGGTCTCCAAGGACGCCCCCAAGGGATGGTCCAAGGAGAAGTTCTGGTGCAAAAGGTGGAGAAAAGGAGATCTCTCCTGAACAGTTCGATGATGGTGAGGAGTATTCCATGACTTATGACGATGACACCAAAATGTCGGAACTGTTGATGGAAGCGATTTCATTTCTGTCCAATGGCAAAACAGATTTGGCTCGAGCAGAGGCGGACCCATTGTTCAAACTCCTGAAGTTCAATGGAGATACTGACCAGATGGATAGAGAATGGGTTTCGTGGACCACCGATATGTTGTCCGTGCTGGAACTTCACGAAGTAGTGAAGTCGTATGAGGTTTCGCTCGAGGAGGTGGAAGAATGGGTCAATGACCTGAGGATATGGTTCGAGCGAGCCAACGTGGAAGAAGAAAAAGATCCCAAAAGGGGCAAGAAGAGGTCCCTAGAAAGGGAGTCCAGCAAGGATATTCCTGCCGAAAAGGAGGTGGTTGAGACTTCTGAGACGGAGGTTGCCGTTGAGGAGGAGGCAAAAAAGGTTAAAAAGAAGAGGAAAACTGCAGTTATCGAAGATCCTTACACTCTCCTGGTTCCAAAGCCGAAGAAGATGCCGGCGACCATTGAGAAGAGTGGATCATCATCCAATGCGGCGGTTTCTGCAGGGGAAAAAGCCTCGAAAATGCGCACAAAGTCAAACGTCGGTGGAAAGGCGAAGAAGAAGGAGAAAAGTCAGAGTCCCAAAAAGGGAGAAGTGGTGGTGGTGAAAGGTCCTGAGGAAAAGGATCGTCCTCCTGATGTGGATGCGCAAGCGTCTACAGCTGTGAGTGCAGAGCTGGGTCAATCTTGCCAAGCGATTGAGGACGCAAAGAGAGAAGGATTGGTATCCTCAATTCAAAGGTGTGTGCAGGATCCTGTTCTTGCAGTTTCGGACCTGGAGTATATTCTGCTGCAACTTCACCTCAGTATTGCAAACCATCGGAAGAAAAAGTGACTGGATGGTATGGATGAAGGGATGGTTTTTCTCTTTCTGGAGACAGGTGCGCTGGATCGGCCAATGTGCTGAAAATGTGGTGGTTACTATTAAGGGTATGGAAATCCCTGATAGTAGAAGTTAGTAGTTTTTCACGTAGCGAAGACCACGGTTTGTGGTGAAGAAGGCCGAAGAGTCTTCAATGATAAGAGGATCAAGGTGGAAAAAAGATTCTCTATGGTTAGTGGATTTAGCCAATGTGCTATAATTTCGTCCTGGTAGACGTAAAACCATATTGTGCATTTCAAGCAGCTGGCTGCTGCCCTAATGGCAGTTTTTGGCCAAAGGTCTGCACCTCCAATGTGTCCTAGGAAATCCTAGGACAGGGGGAGTGCGGAGCTGCAACTGGTATTGTAGAAAAGAGTTAGTGTTGAGAGTTGGAAGGGTTAATGAACCCGGAAAACATGTTTGGCTCAAGATGGGCTTGAACAGAAAGCCACAAGTTCAAAAAGTAGTGCCTGGGTTCTTAGGGTTTGGTAAGGGTGTGGATTCCTTCCCCCTTTCCTTCCCCCCTGGGTTGCTCTTATCCGTGTTCTCGTTTGTTTCTTGGTTCGATCTGGGGAATATAGGTTCAGGGCGATTAGGGGAGTTGATTTCCTTCCTTGGTTGTCCCCCCGTATAGGGTTTAGGGTTTAGGGTTTAGGGTTTAGGGTTTAGGGTTTAGGGTTTAGGGTTTAGGGTTCAGGGTTTAGGGTTTAGGGTTTAGGGGAAGGGTTTGGGGGTTTGGTGTTCAGGGTTTGGGGGGTTTGGGGGCGCTTGTTTTGCGACTGCCTCTTTTCTTCTTTTGGCGCTTGAAGGCTTCAGGCCTGCACGTCAATCTGTTACACCCTAAACCTTAACCCTCAACCCTAAATGGTAAACCCTAAACCCTTGTTGCATTGCCAGGGAACTATGCTGTCTGGTCGTTTCGGACTTGTTGGAGTTGAGGGTTTTGGGGGGGTGCGGGGGGCGGGGGGGGGGGGGGGGGG